CAGGCATGCACTACCACATCTGGCTAATTTTTTATTTATTGTAGAGATGAGGTCTCGCCAAGTTGCCCAGGCGGGTTTTGAACCCACGGGCTCAGGCAATCCACTCACCTTGGCCTCCCAAAGTGCTGGGATTACAGGCTGAGCCACCGAGCCCAGCTTTCTTTTGGTTTTAAAAGAAATGAAAACATTTCCATGGTGAGCTTCAAGTCAGTGACAAGTTAAGAAAGAAAAAACAGTTTAAAAAACCCCAACACATTTCCATGGGCCCCTGAATGTGTGGCAGGCCCTGGTGATTGTCCCTGTTCCTGATGGATGGGTCAGCCATGCCTTGTTCTGCCAGGCCACCAGTGTCCATGAAGAAGTGTACTGTCTGTGTTTGTGTGTCCTGTGGTCTGGGAGGGACAGTTAAGGATGGACGGGACATGGTGGCCCCTGAGCGCGCCACCTGTCCCCTTTAGGACTTGTGCCAGGCTCTCTCCTGTCACACGGACCCGCTGGACCAAAGTAGCTGCAGTCGCCTCCTGGTTCCGCTCCTAGACGGGACAGAGTGTGGCGTGGAGAAGGTCAGAGCAAAGCGCGAATGAGACTCTCATGTGTGCGCATGTGCGCACCTTCATGGGCACCTTTGGCCAGGCCGCCTCGTTCTTGGGGTGGGAAGGAGGTAGGGCAGAGAGTCCTGGGACTGTCCCCGCTCAGGTTAAGAAGGAGGGGTGATTGAATGCTCACTTCAGCCCTCTGCAAGGCTGGGAGGCAGGGGGGCTTTCTAGGCTTGAAGACTTGGCCCTGAGTCTCCTGTTGTCACCCCCAAACCACAGAGAGCGGGCTTGCTGCAGTGACAGACACTCTGCTTACCCAAGACCCTCCTGTGGCCTCATCCTAGTCCTCGAAGCCCTTCCCTTCCCTTCTCCCCGGCCTGGCCACACCCTTCCTCCATTCTTTGGGTTGCTGGTCTCCCCTCTTCCCTGAAACGTTTACTCTCAAGCAGAATGGGGATTGTGAGGGTGCCTGTGGGTGTGAGGTTCCTATGGGTAGGGGTTCCTGTGTGTCAGGGTCCCTGCGGGTGGATCCCTGTGTGTGTTGGGATGGGTCCCTGTATGTGGAGTCCTTGTGTGTGCTGGGGGATCCCTGTGTGTATGGGGGGGTCCTTGTGTTGGGTGTCCCTGTTTTTATGTTGAGTCCCTGTGTGTGTTGGGAGATCCTGTGGGTGGGTTCCCTTGTGTGTTGGGGAGTCCCTATGTCAACTGGGGGGTCCCTTGTGTATCGTGAGTTCCTGGGTGGGTTGGGGTCCCTGGGTCCCTGTGTGTTTGGGGGTCCATGTGTGTGTTGGGGGCCCTTGGGTGGGAAGCCCCTCTGTGGTTTGGGGGTCCCTGTGGGGGTCCTTTGTGTGTTGGGGGAGCCCTGTGGGAGGGTTCCTGTGTGTGTTGGGGAAATCCCTGTGGGAAGGGTCTTTGTGTGTTGGGGGGGCTCTTGTGGAGGGTCCTTGTGTGTACTGGGGTCCCTGTATTAGGAGTCCCTGTGGGGATCCCTGTGTCTGTTGAGGGGTCCTTGTGGGGGGTCCCTATGTGTGTTGGGAGTTTCTGTGGGGGTTACCCTGTGTGCGTTGGGGTCCATGTGGGGGTCTCTGGGTGTGTTGGGGGATCCCTGTGTGCTGGGGGTCCCCATGGGAACCATGTGTGTTTTGGGGGGCTCCGGTGGGGGTCCCTTGTGTTGGGGGTCCCTTGGGGGTCCAGGGTAGGAGACCAAACTGTCCTTGCCTTGCAGTGGTGCTCCAAGGGTCGCTGCCGTTCCCTGGCAGAGCTGCCCCCGGTTACGGCGGTGCACGGCCACTGGTCCAGCTGGGGCCCCGAAAGTCCTTGCTCGCGCTCCTGCGGAGGAGGCGTGGTCACCAGGAGGCGGCGGTGCAGCAAGCCCAGGTGCGTGTGGCGGGCGCTGTTCCCCTGTCAGGGAGGGGACCGCACCACACCCCTGCTTGGGGGCGATGGCCACCTCCTGCCCTCCTGTCTCACGTGCATTTTCAGACCTGCCTTTGGGGGGCGTGCGTGTGTTGGCGCTGACCTCCAGGCTGAGATGTGCAACACCCAGGTAGGTCAGCTTCCCGGGGCGGCCGGGAGGGGGTGGTGGCGGGCAGGTGACTCCAAAGAGTCCGTCTCAGGACACTTTGGAGAGGGTCGCTGGGACCACAGCACAAAAACAGGACGGTCATGCTGACGACCCCAGAGCTCCTGAGGGGTGTCACCTTCATCCTTTCAGAACACATCTCTGCCCTCTGGAATATAAACACTACCGTGCAACCATGGAGGGTTCTTTTACTTACAAATGGAGGTGAAATCTGGCTGGACGTGGAGGCTCATACCTGCAATTCCAATACTTTGGGAGCCTGAAGTGGGAGGATAGCTTGAGGCCAAGAGTTCGAGACCAGCCTGGACAACATAGCGAGACCCCCATCTCTACCAAAATAAAAAGTAGAAAAAAACAAATTGAGTTGAAATACACGTAGCATAAAATAAACTACATTAAAGGGGATAATTTGGTAGCATTTAGTACTTTCACCATGTTGTGCAACCACCACCTCTATCTAGTTTCAAAGCATTTCCTTTACTCCAGAGGAAAACCCCTTACCATAAATCTGTCACGCCCCATTCTTCCCCACTCTCAGCTCTGGCAACCATCAATCTACTTCCTGTCTTTGTAGTTTACCTATTCTGAATATTTTATGTCAGTGGAGCCATACAATACACAGTCTTTTCAGTCGGGCCTTTTTCACTTAACATAATGTTTTCTTTTCTTTTTTAAGTCAGAGTCTCATTCTGTCACCCAGGCTAGAGGGCAGTGGCACACTCCCGGCCACTGCAGCCTCGACCTACGAACTCAGGCGATCCTTCTGCCTCAGCCTTCCAAGTAGCTGGAACTACAGGCACACGCCACCATGCCCGGCTAATTTTTTGATTGATTGTAGAGATGAGGTCTTGCCAAGTTGCCCAGACTGGTCTCGAACTCGCGGGCTCAGGCAGTCCTCTCACCTTGGCCTCCCAAAGTGCTGGGATTATAGACGTGAGCCACCGTGCCCGGCCGTCATAATGCTTTCAAGGTTCATTCGTGTGTAACACATATCAGTGCTGCTGCTTCTCCTTCCCCTCCTCCTCTTCTTCCTCCCCCTCCCCCTCCTCTTCCTTCTCCCCCACTTCCTCCTTCTTTTTCTTCTTCTTCGACAGAGTCTTACTTTGTTGCCCAGGCTAGAGAGTGGTGGCAGGATCACAGCTCACTACAGCCTCTACCTCCTGGGTTCAGGTCAACCTCCCATCTCAGCCTCGTGAGTAGCTGGGAATACAGGCACATGCAACCATACCTGGCTAATTTTTTTTGGGTAGAGATGTGGTCTTGCTATGTTGTCCAGTCTTAACCTGCTGGGCTCAGGCAATCCTCCAGCCTCAGCCTCCCAAAGTGCTGGGATTATAGGTCTGAGCAACTGTGCCTGGCCACTTCATTCATTTTTATGGCTGAATAATATTGCATTGTATGCATAGACCACATTGTGTTTATGTATTCATCTATTGGACATTTGGGCTGTTTCTACCTGTCGGTGACTGTGAACACAGATGCTGTGAATGTGCTTATACATGTACTTGTTTTGAATTCCTGTTTTCAATTCTTTTAGCAATATATCTAAAAATGCAGTTGCCAGGTTGTATGACAAATCTACGTTTGGCTTTTTTTTTGAGTCAGGATCTTTTTTTTTTTTTTTTTGAGTTGGAGTCTTACTCTGTCACCCAAACTGGAGTGCAGTGGCACGCTCCTGGCCACCACGGCCTCCACCTGCTGGGCTCTGGTGATCCTTCTGTCTCAGCCTTCCAAGTAGCCAGAACTACAGGCACGTGCCACCACGCCCGGTTAATTTTTGTTTTATTGTAGAGACGAGATCTCGCCAGGTTGTCCGGGTGGGTCTCAAACCCGGGGGCTCAGGCAATCCACTCGCCTCGGCCTCCCAAAGTTCTGGGATTACAGGCTGAGCCACCAAGCCCGGCCTTGAGTCAGGATCTTACTCTTTCACCCAGGCTGGAGTACAATCATGGCTCACCGCAGCCTCGACTTCTTGGGCTGAAGTGATCCTCCCATCTCAGCATCCCAAGTGGCTGGGACTACGGGCGTGCACTGCCATACTGACTAACTTTTCAATTTTTTGTAAAGACAAGGTCTCACTATATGCCCAGGCTGTTCTCAAACCCTTGAGCTCAAGTGATCCTCTTGCCTCAGCCTCCCAAAGTGCTGGGATAGTGCCTGGCCATGTTTGGCTTTTTTGAGTGTGTTTTTTTTGAGTCGAAGTCTCACTCTGTCGCCCAGACTGTAGTGCTGTGGTACGCTCCCGGCCACCACAGCCTAGACTTGCTGGGCTCCGGTGATCCTTCCGCCTCAGCCTTCCAGGTAGCTGGAACTACAGGTGCACGCTACCATGCCCGGCTAATTTTTTGGCATATTGAGAGGCGAGGTCTCACCAGGTTGCCCAGGCTGGTCTCAAACCCATGGGCTCAGGCATTCCACTTGCCTCGGCCTCCTGAAGTGCTGGAATGACAGACTTGAGCCACCACACTCAGCGAATGATTCTTTTTACATTGAGTTAAAATCTGCCTCCTGCTTCAGATGGCCCTGGGTTTGGGATTGGCCCTGGCTGTATGACAGCTCTGCATGTGGCAAGACCCTCTCTCTCCTCCTTCCCCAGACCTTAAGGGGAGGGTCTTTGTGGCAAGGGGTGGCGGGACTTCATGGAGGGCACCTGTGGTCAGTGTCCCCACCCGGTGGGTCAACTTCGATTATTTTCTCTTCAGTGTTTAGAAGTCCAGGATACCTGCCTAGGTGCTGAGGCTCTGGTGGTGAAGCCCTTTGTTCTTTTATTTATTTATTTATTTTTGAGTCGGAGTCTCACTCCGTTGCCCAGGCTGAAGTGCAGTGGGCGTGCTCACGGCCACCCCAGCGTCAACCTGCTGGGCTCCAGCGATCCTTCCACCTCAGCCTTCTAGGTAACCAGAGCTACAGGTGTGCACTACCACGCCCTAATTTTTTTTTTTTAATTGTAAAGACAAGGTCTCACCAAGTTGCCCGGACTGGTCTTGAACCCACGGGTTCAGGCAATCCATTGGCCTCGGCCTCCCAAAGTGCTGGGATTACAGTCTGAGCCACCAAGCCTGGCCGCCCTTTGTTCTTAATCATCTATAATTGCTTCTTTTCTTTCTTTCCCCACCCCCTTTTGTTTAGAGATGAGTTCTGGCTATGTTGCCCAGGCTGGTCTCAAACTCCTGGGTTCAAGCAATCCTCCTGCCTTGGCCTCCCAGAGTGGTGGGACTATAGGTGTGAGCCACCGTGCTGGCCTATAGTGGTCTAATTACCTGCCTCTAGATGCACCTGTCTAGTGAATAAACATCACCATCCTGGTTTTGTCAAGTCCAGGCCTTGGGACCTGAGGTTCCGGGAGCAGCGCCCTTCCTCGGCTCTCTCTTTGTTGCTGCCTTGTGATGTTTACAAATTCTCTGACATTTTTCCATTAGCAGAGAAAGGCAGGCACCCTTGTCCCCCCAGTTTACAAAGCGGGGGTTGGAGGCACAACCCAGAGCTGAGGTCATACCCACATCTTGACCCCGCACGGTAGGGTGCCATGCTGTCTCCCAGTGACACGGCACCCCTCCCCCCCACCCCGGACACCAACCCCCACTCCTGTGCCTGTCTGTCTTCTGCCTCCTCCTGGCCAGGCCTGCCAGAAGACCCAGCTGGAGTTCATGTCTGAGCAGTGTGCGGGGACGGATGACCAGCCGCTGCACTTCCCTGCTGGCAGTACCTCCTTCTACCGCTGGGGCGCTGCGGTGCAGCACAGTCAAGGTGGGACCCACAGAGCCTGCCCTGGAGACCCTCGGGTGGGGCACAGCCGTTGGTGGTCAGCTGTTACTCCAGTGCTGGTCAAGACAGCAGGTCGGGCAATGGCATCCCATCTCTGTGTCTTGGTTTTTCCATCTGTGAAATGGGTATAATGGCAGTATCTCCCTCCCAGGTCACTAGAAATTGGCAAGGGAAAAGTCAAGCAGTTTCCCTGGTTCATGATTCAATATCATTAGTTATTAGATTATGTTATGGTGATGATTATTGCCTTAGGAGGCAGGACAGAGCAAAGTAGATGGGGGCTGGTAGGTATGAGGGTTCACTTGGACGAGGCTTGGCCGGGTCAGCTGAGAAGACCTTGTGGGGGCTTCCCATCCCTTCCTCCCCTGGCTTTCTGGATCCCTATCCGCTCCCTCCTCCCACCCCACAGGGGATGCTCTGTGTAGACACATGTGTCGTGCTATTGGCGAGAGCTTCATTGTGAGCCGTGGAGACAGCTTCCTGGATGGGACCCGGTGTGTGCCAAGTGGCCCTCGTCAGGATGGGACCCTGAATTTGTGCGTGTCCGGCAGCTGCAGGGTAGGCGTGTGTGGATAGCGGAGGGGGCTTCGAGGCCTGCCTGTCCTATTGGAGGGCTCCTGGGGGGTGGGACTATGGGTGCTGGGGCCAAACTAGAAGTCAGCCTGGGTTCAGAGCTGCTCTGTGACCTTGGGTGGGTCACTTGAACCCTCTAAGCTGGCTTCCTGTGTGGAGTGTCATCGGTTGGCTGGGTGGATCCCAGAACTCCAGAGCAAGCAGGGCTGTGGTGTCCATGAGGCCAGTACCCTCCGGTGACAATGGCCCTCAGCCTTTCTCTTTGCACAGACGTTTGGCTGTGATGGCAGGATGGACTCCCAGAAGGGACGGGATGCGTGCCAGGTGTGTGGCGGGGACAACAGCACGTGCATCCCACACAACGGCTCTTTCACGGCCGGGAGAGCCAGAGGTAGGGGGCCTCCCCGGGGTGGAGGACTGGGCTTCCTGCAGCCCAGAGTCCTGGTGCAGGGCTGCTTAGTCCCAGATGCCTCCTACAGGTCTCAGTCTCTCCTCCCTCCACCTCGCTGCCCTCCCTTGGCAGGCTCCGATACTGGTGATGATGTTGTTGCTAGAACTGTGTCATCGCTAACTGTAGCTGTGATGCAGAGAAAACATAGACACTGCGCAATCCGTGGCAGACTAGCCTCTCTTTCCCGCTCAAGAAATCCCATCAGGAGGGATGCAAGTGAATGAGAGGGATGTTAGTTACACTGGGAACATCCTTGACTTTGATTGATTGATTGATTGATTTTGAGTTGGAGTCTCACTCTGTCGCCCAGACTGGAGTGCAGTGGCCGCTCCCGGCCATGGCAGCCTTGACCTGTTGGGCTCTGGCGATCCTTCCGCCTCAGCCTTCCACGTAGCTGGAACTACAGGCACGTGCTACCACGCCTGGCTGATTTTTTGATGTATTGTAGAGATGAGGTCTCG